CGCCGGCTTGCCCGGGTCTATGTTATTATAAAATTCTAAATGTATGCATATGTTATATATGCATATATGCGCATATATATATATATATATATGTAAATGTAGGTAGGAACCAGCGCGCCGTGTCCGCGGGGCCCTCGAAGGGCGGAGGGAAGCTCCTTAAAACGTAGTGCAGTTATGGCCCGAATCAGCAGTTAATCACCCAATCTATGGTCAGTTATAACCCCATTTATAGCGATTTACATCTGCTAAAGGGCTTTAACTGTGGGATGATTGAGTTGTTGCAGGGGTTTTCCATGGCCAAGGGGTTGGTATTTGGGCATTCCCAGAAAAAGAGGGATAAACCCTAAACCTGTGCTAATTGATAATCATGCTTAAATCAGAATCAACGAAGTATTTTCTCCTGCTCCCAGAACTGTCAGGTCTACAGTGGTTGCCTCATTGGTCCTATAATGACCAACTGTTTGCATCAAGTGATGCTTCCAAAGAAGCCCTTCGTGCGTCCTTCTCAAAAATCATCAACAATCATCGATCTTCTTTTTGCGATTATGGCATTCGCGAATTCGGTCGCATCTGTTTGCGATGACGACATGTCCAAATTCAGCATCAAGCATTCAAAATATGGTGGGTTATTTTGGACTCACGACTTTCCATTTATAACGTTTCCTTTGACGTTCCACCCGCTCTGAATCACAGAAATTGACGCAAGGCCCTTTGCAAAGAACGCGGTGATCACCGATGCTATGCTTCAACTCCCAGCCATTCTTCAGCAGATTTGCCACGGATTGGTCTTCTGACGAAGTTACCCTGTCTGGCCTTTGTAGCATCCATGTCAAGCGTTGCAAGTCATGCAGTTCTAAAATGATCATCGTGAGACTTTCCAGCAACTCCGGGTTTTCATCCAAAAAGGTGGCAAAACATCTCTCGCAATCAATAGCTAAGGTGTCGAAGTTCAAATTCAACGACCTAACAGAGTGCGCCGGGATCACAGTTCCATTATGTGATCATTCAGGTCCGCCACAAAAGAACCGTATTGCTCTTTGCCCTTTGTACCGCTATTCGCTTGCGGAGACACCAATTTGTAGGATTTCGATCCAATCGTTCCACGGACAACTTGAACGTCGCACTCATGATCTGCCAAGTTCTTTTCCAAAATGTCCCAGACGAGTGGATCAGCATCGACGGAAACCTGTTTGGCGCCCTGTGCATCCCCATGCGTCCCATTCAGTCCCAGCACTTTAGCCAGCTGACAAGAAGCGTGGCCGTAACGTGCGCCAACCTCCAGCACTTTGGCACCAGGCCGCAGCCACAGTGTGAAAACAAAGCGAGATAGCTGTTCCATACTGCAATCAAACTTTCTTCCTTGTTCAACCTTGAAATCACAATTATCCTCTTCGAATAAATGTTCGCAATCACGAACAACGGAGGCATCAGCAGTTGAAGGAGAAGAAGGCGGCGTTGAAGGAAAAGAATGCTGCGATTGCAGTTGGGGTTGAACTTGCATCGGTGCACTGTGGTCGCGATGGCCAAATGGATCAATTTGATCAGTTGAAGGAAAAGAATGCTGCGATTGCAGTTGGGATTGAACTTGCATCGGTGCACTGTGGTCGCGATGGCCAAATGGATCAATTTGATCAGACAAATTGACCACAGACAACAAAATTGTCACGACCACAAGCGCCCGAATCCAAATATAGGATGATTGTGCCATCAGTGAAACAAGAGTAACTACATCAACCGGATATTGAGTTTTGCTTGACTGCTTGAATATCGCTGCTGGGTATTCAGTGTGTTGCCACTCTGATCCACTCTGTTTTTGCCTCACGTCGGTTCAACATGGTTCAACCCGTTCTTGATGAGCATCTGTGTGTGATGTTTTGTTTTTTTGTTACTTTTTTTCGATGATGTTATGACCTTCGATGTACCCTTCCCGCACTTTAGCTGGTTGTTTCTACTAATATTATAAAATTCTAAATGTATGCATATGTTATATATGCATATATGCGCATATATATATATATATATATGTAAATGTAGGTAGGAACCAGCGCGCCGTGTCCGCGGGGCCCTCGAAGGGCGGAGGGAAGCTCCTTAAAACGTAGTGCAGTTATGGCCCGAATCAGCAGTTATAAGTCAGCTAATCACTTGATCCAAAGGGGCTCCAGGGATGGTTTCTATAGAGGGTGGACGGGGCATGACGTAAACATAAACTATGTCTAGGCGTAAGTAAAAACATATGTGAAACACAAACGAAACATATGTGAAACGCATATGAAACATATGTCAAACATAAGACAAAACATATGTGGAACGCAAACGAAACATAAATGGAATATAATTGAAACATAAGTGACACATAAAGCAAAACATGTGTGAAATTTGCAACATATGTGAAACATGAGTTGGCCGTCCCCCCTGTGTCAAGCAGTTGCCAATTTGAAATCCAAACCTGGTACAAACCTGCAGCCAATGTGAAACTGATGTCTCCCACATGTTTCACATATGTCTGACATACGTTTTGTTTGCGCAGCACTTGCGTCAGGCAAAAGTCTAAGATCTTATTCTGGGAAAATAAGATCTTAGGATTTTGACATACATAAAAAAAAAACACAAGCGAAACACAAACAAAACATAAACAAAACACAAATGTAGCATAAACTTGTTTATGTTTTTTTGTGTTCTGTTTATGTTTTGGTTTATTTTTTGTTTGTGTTTTTTGTGTCAATTATTTGCGTAAGGCCTTATTTTTTATGTGTTTTTGTGTTTTTTACTGCTTGTTTGCACAAAAAAACACCCAAAAAAACATAAAAATAAGGCCTTACGCAAATAATTGACACAAACAACACAAACAAAAAATAAACCAAAAATAAAACATAAACAGAACACAAAAAAACATAAACAAGTTTATGCTACATTTGTGTTTTGTTTATGTTTTGTTTGTGTTTCGCTTGTGTTTTTTCATGTATGTCAAAATCCTAAGATCTTATTTTCCCAGAAAAGGATCTTAGACTTTTGCCTGACGCAAGTGCTGCGCAAACAAAGCGTATGTCAAACACAAGTGAAACACAGAGCAAACATTGTGTCACATAACTCCGCTCACCTCCAGAGAAGATGGAAACACGTGCGCGACAGTTGGGACACATGACTGCCAGAATGGTTTGTGGATTCATTTGTGTTTTGTTGATGAATCGTTTTATGTTTTATTGTGGATTCACTTGCGTTCTGTTTATGATGAGTTTCCGATGTGTTTATGATTCACTTGTGTTTGCTTTTATGTTGTGTTTACGTTGTTTTATGTTGGTTCTTTACGTCTTTGGTTTATGTAAGGCTCTTAGCCTCAGATCTGGTTCCTATAGACGAAGCCCTTTGGGTTTACCTAAGTTATAACCCCATTTAAAACGATTTACATCTGCTAAAGGGCTTTAACTGTGGGATGATTGAGTTGTTGCAGGGGTTTTCCATAGCCAAGGGGTTGGTATTTGGGCATTCCCAGAAAAAGAGGGATAAACCGATAAACCCTAAACCGGTGCTAATTGATAATAATGCTGATATAAATCAGAATATACGAAGTACGAAGTATTTTCCCCTGCTCCCAGAACTGTCAGGTCTACAGTGGTTGCCTCATTGGTCCTATAACTTAGTTGTATTTAGCTGTATTTTTGTATTTTTTATTTTTTTTTGGGCCTGAGATATTTTTTTGTATTTTTTTGTTTGGCTAAGCTATTTGAGAATCTCGTTTGTTTCAACAATGGCTGATTTGGAATACCCTTTGCAACCCTAACTTGTGACATCTAAGACATGTACGGAACATGTTGTTTGTTTCCTTGGTCCTTTCCTTTGCAAATTTCATACATATTCGTACACTTTTTTTCACTTTCCATTGGCTCTTTCAATTTTTCTCGTCGAGACAGCTGAAGAGGTATTTGAAATTATTGCTGGTTTATTTTTATTTCTCGTTTGCAATTTGGGTCAGTAGCTGTCAAACACAACAGCAGCATTGCTGCTTTTGCAATGGCAGATGGCTTCGATCCAAGTGGCATGTCTTGGGCTTGAAATGGGGCTCACAGTTCCGTATTTCGTATCATCACCCAGAGCTGGGAACTTGGTTGCGCACGCCATGGGGTGTTGACTGCAGGGTTCTAGCCAAAGCGGATTGACAAGCGTCTGAGCAAACAATGAAATCACAAAGCCCATTTACATGCAAAAAAAAAAATCCAAAAGCATGAAAGGACAAAGGCGGGCTCTGGAGCTTCAGGAGGGCGGTGGCTGTTCGGCTGCTTCGGCTGCTTCGGCTCAGCATGTCCACGCAGCGAGGAGGGCTGTTTCGGCCCTTCAGACTCGGCTCCTGCTTGCGAAGTGTTTTCAAATTTTGACCTCAAGTGAGGCTGCTTCGGCATTAGCGGTAGCTGTTTCAGCCAAGCCCTTGCAGCATCAGGTAAGCTGCTTCCGGCTGTCAAAGCTGCTTTGGCTTGTTTTGACGCTGTTCCGACTTCTCACTTTGAAGCTGCGTTACATACTTAGTCAGTTTTTGTACATAGCAGGTCGCGATGGACTTCTCGCAAAAATAGGAATTGGCTGGGGTGGGTTGAAGCGTCAGGGTAAAGACTTTGGGTTTCTGGTCGAATCTACCAATGGGTTGAATCTAAGAGACGATTACCCACAAATATTGGGAGATTCAACGAAAGCTTTGATTTGGAGACAGTCTTGGCTACTTAATATGTGTTTTTTTGTCCTCTCCTTAGGAGCATCAAAAAAAATTCAACGGACCTCGAATCAACGGGTGGGAATGTCCTCTCCTTAGGAGCTTCGGGGTTGTCCTTGAACCTCCTAAGGGGAGGACGACAAGGGGACGAAACTGGAATACTCTTAAGTATGAGTTTTTCAAAGGCCTTTGTCCCATTGTTGTCCTCTCCTTAGGAGCCTCGGGGACGTCCTTGAACCTCCTAAGGACAGGACGAATTGTCCTCTCCTTAGGGGCATGCCTGAGATCCGCTTCGCTTCAGGAGCCTCGGCTCAAGCACTTCACGGAAGCTTGTGGCTGAAAACTGGCCACACCATCTCTACGCCAAAGAGGTGGCAACTGAGCGTCTCGGCTACTGTAGCTGTAGCTGCTGCGGCCACTTAGCTGCTTCGGCTTTTGGTGGCTGCTTTGGCCACAAGTATGCCACCGCGGCATCGACCAATGTCAGATCAGCTGGAAAGGGCCGGATCTTAGCCACATAGACTGCGGCGGGGTGCTGTCTTCAAAGTCGGATGTGAGATGCAAAAAATGACAAGTGGAAAAGTGGATAAACATGCGTTGCGGCAGCTGCAGACACCCTGTAGACTCAGTTCAGCAAACAGCAATTGATTTATAACAGGTGCAACGAAGATTAAAAAAAGCTCACACATTTCAATTTCAAGGCGTTTCCTTCTGCAGCTGTTTCAGCCCAAGAAAGCTGACTCAGAATCAGCCAGCTGTGCACTCTGTAGTGCTAAGGACCCTTTAAATCAAGCAAGCTGAAAGAGACCTGCCCTTAGTCCAAATACGGATAGTTGGAACTTTGGGGCTCGAAAAGCGGTTTCAGAAGCACCGCAAGTTGAAATGCAGCAAGTGGGGATCTCGTGGGCCGCCCATATTGCATATTAAGAAAGAGGGGCCAAAGATGACTTTGCCAAAGCTGAAGTCGGCTTGGTATTCCAACCGTGGCTGTTTCAGCCAAGGTCTGTGTCGGATTTGTTGGATGGTGGCTGGTTCGGCCATCAACAGGTCTGTTTCAGTTTTTAACCCAATTGCTTCAATCAAAACGCAAAAAGATATTTGCAAAATTCGTCTGCTACCGGGGGAAAAAGCGTGGCCACGACTCTTGAGATATTTTTCTCAAAGTTGGTGTTGAGCACTGTGTCGCATATCTTTGTCGCGACTAAGTTGCAGTCTTAAGTTTGCGTTGGTCTTTTACATTCTACTTCAAGGTTGTTTATTGTGAAGCCCCTCTTGTTATGTTGCGGCAAAGTTCAAGGAAGAAAGACGTGAAAGATATTTGCTATTCTCGTTTGCACCTCTTCCTTTTTGTTGGATTTCTCGTTGACGGCCCAAAATTAAAAAAAATACAAAAATACAGCTAAATACAACTAAGATAATGACCAACTGTTTGCATCAAGTGATGCTTCCAAAGAAGCCCTTCGTGCGTCCTTTTCAAAAATCATCAACAATCATCGATCTTCCTTTTGCGACTACGGCATTCGCGAATTCGGTCGCATCTGTTTGCGATGACGACATGTCCAAATTCAGCATCAAGCATTCAAAATATGGTGGGTTATTTTGGAGTCACAACTTTCCATTTATTTCCATTTATGACGTTTCTTTTGACGTTTCACCCACTTTGAATCACAGAAATTGACGCAAGGCCCTTTGCAAAGAACACGGTGATCACCGATGCGATGCTTCAACTCCCAGCCATTCTTCAGCAGATTTGCCACGGATTGGTCTTCTGACGAAGTTACCCTGTCTGGCCTTGATAGCGCCGCTGTCAAGCGTTGCAAGGTGTGGTCTTCTACAATGATCATCGTGAGACTTTCCAGCAACTCCGGGTTTTCATCCAAAAAGGTGGCAAAACATCCCTCGCAATCAATAGCTAAGGTGTCGAAGTTCAAATTCAACGACCTAACAGAGTGCGCCGGGATCACAGTTCCATGATGTGAGTCATTCAGGTCCGCCATAAAAGAACCGTATTGCTCTTTGCCCTTTGTACCGCTAATTGCTTGCGGAGACACCAATTTGTAGGATTTCGATCCAATCGTTCCACGGACAACTTGAACGTCGCACTCATGATCTGCCAGGTTCTTTTCCAAAATGTCCCAGACGAGTGGATCAGCATCGACGGAAACCTGTTTGGCGCCCTGTGCATCCCCATGCGTCCCAGTCAGTCCCAGCACTTTAGCCAGCTGACAAGAAGAATGGCCGTAACGTGCGCCAACCTCCAGCACTTTGGCACCAGGCCGCAGCCACAGTGTGAAAACAAAGCGCGATAGCTGTTCCATCTTGCAATCAAACTTTCTTCCTTGTTCAACCTTGAAATCACAATTATCCTCTTCGAATAAATGTTCGCAATCACGAACAACTGAGGCATCAGCAGTTGAAGGAGAAGAAGGCGGCGTTGAAGTTGAAGGAGAAGAAGGCGGCGTTGAAGGAAAAGAATGCTGCGAATGCAGTTGGGGTTGAACTTGCATCGGTGCACTGTGGTCGTGATGGCCAAATGGATCAATTTGATCAGTTGAAGGAAAAGAATGCTGCGATTGCAGTTGGGATTGAGCTTGCATCGGTGCACTGTGGACGCGATGGCCAAATGGATCAATTTGATCAGCCAAAAGCATCTTCACCAAAAACAACAAAATTGTCACGACCACAAGCGCCCGAATCCAAATATAGGATGGTTGTGCCATCAGTGAAACAAGAGTAACTAAATCAACCAGATATTGAGTTTTGCTTGACTGCTTGAATACTGCTGCTGGGTATTCAGTGTGCACATGTTGCCACTCTGATCCACTCTGTTTTTGCCTCACGTCGGTTCAACATGGTTCAACCCGTTCTTGATGAGCATCTGTGTGTGATGTTTTGTTTTTTTGTTACTTTTTTTTTTCGATGATGTTATGACCTTCGATATACCCTTCCGGCACTTTAGCTGCTTGTTTCTACTAATATTTTAAAATATTAAATGTATGTATGCATATGTTATATATGCATATATGCGCATATATATATGTAAATGTAGGTAGGAACCAGCGCGCCGTGTCCGCGGGGCCCTCGAAGGGCGGAGGGAAGCTCCTTAAAACGTAGTGCAGTTATGGCCCGAATCAGCAGTTATAAGTCAGCTAATCACCCCATTTATGGTCAGTTATAACCCCATTTAAAACGATTTACATCTGCTAAAAGGCTTTAACTGTGGGATGATTGAGTTGTTGCAGGGGTTTTCCATAGCCAAGGGGTTGGTATTTGGGCATTCCCAGAAAAAGAGGGATAAACCGATAAACCCTAAACCGGTGCTAATTGATAATAATGCTGATATAAATCAGAATATACGAAGTATTTTCCCCTGCCCCCAGAACTGTCAGGTCTACAGTGGTTGCCTCATTGGTCCTATAATGACCAACTGTTTGCATCAAGTGATGCTTCCAAAGAAGCCCTTCGTGCGTCCTTTTCAAAATCATCAACAATCCCTGAGCATCGCCTTTTGATTACAATCAATTAGCCCCTATGATTTTTAAATTGATTTTTTTTTGAAGAGGTGAAATCAAAAAGGAAAAATCATGACTTGGAGGCAATTTGGTAGGAATTTCCTTTTTGATTTTGCTTGTTTTCGATGGATGTGTTTCTTTTGATTTTTTTGGTGTTTTTCCAGGCCTGTCTAGTAGCAAGTTTGCTGCTGCTGCACATGTTTTTTTCATATGTTTCTGCAGCTGTTTATAGCTCAAACATATAGAAATCAACATACAATATAATATATATATATACACACATCAAACATGGAAAGCTTTGGAAAAGGCAAAAGTGACATCTGTGGAAGTGAAGGCTTTGGAAAAGGCCAAGGTGAAGGCTTTAGAAAAGGCAAAAGTGAAGGCTTTGGAAAAGGCCAAGGTGAAGGCTGTGGAAAAGGCGGTGAAGGCTTTGGAAAAGGCACAGGAAAAGGTGGTGCCAGACACTTTCCAAAACCTTACATCGATTCAGGTCTGCTATACAAAGTATTGGCAGACAATGTGTTGGTTTTGAAGAACCTGGGCAGCTATGAGCATGTCTCCAAAGCCAATTGCCCTTGCCCAAAAAGGTTAGTCCACACCATTGGGCTCTGGAAGTCAGTGCTGAAACTGGAACCTTCTGGAGAGGTCCATCCTCAACCTCTGAGGACAGCACTGATCAGCCTGCTGGCTGAGAGGCCAGAGCTCAATTGCAGCTCGAGCTCTGGCCAGGTGTGGGCTAACCTGAGAATGGAAAGGATCTCTTGCATCCTCTTCCATGTGAGGAAGCTGGGCAGAGATGGGCTCACATCTGCTGCTGCCAAACTCTGCAGAGATGATTTCTCACTGCTGCAGCAAGGTTTGAAGCTGCTGGAAATCCCAGATGCTTTGGAAAAGGTGCCTAAACCAGTGGCACTTCCTTTGGAAAAGGGAAGAGCAGCAGAAGACTCAAATAGAAAGCTGAAAAAAGAAAACAGTGATGTTTCCATGGATAGCAAAGGTTTCCCCAAGATGTTTGAAGACAGCAATGCAGGCACTCCAAAGAAAACAGGCACTTCCTCTGGTGCTGCAATGTGCATTGCCAGAAGAAGGCCTGGGCAAATGGTATCTTTGGAAAAGGATGGTTTGCAAGCTGCCTTGGGGTATGGGAAAAAACAATTGAAAAGGCCAGCATCTGCTTTGGAAAAGGCACTGAAAAGGCCTGCATCTGCTTTGGAAAAGGTAGAGAAAGCAAGGCCCAAGAAAGATGCAGGCAAGACAGAAAAGAAGAACCATGCAAAAACCTCTTTGGAAAAGGAGAAGAGAAAGCCTTGGCTCAAGATCAAGAAAACAGTGGCCTGCAAAAAACCCAGATCTTACTTGACAGGCACCACAGAAAAAGGTGGAAAGTTGAAGCTGATTGTGGAAGTGTCTGGTGCTAGGTGCCCAGATTGGCACAGCCAAATGGTTGATGAGATTTGGGCTTCTTTGGAAAAGGAAGCATTGACAAAGTCAGAGGCCATAGCCCTGAGGGAGAAACTTTGCAAGGAATGGGGTGCCAACTGGTAGATGCTGCATGTGCACCTCACCCATTTGGAAAAGTGCTCTGCTCCAGCAATTTTGAAGCAAGTGGCTGCCTTTGGAAAAGGGCATGCTTCTGAGAAGTGTCTGGCAAGGCAAGCCCCAACATGGGGCCAGCCTAGATCTGACCAATTTTGCTTGAGGAAAAAAGTGCATCCAAGAAGGCACTGGGGCCAGGAGGGGTTTAGGCTGGTGTCACCCAACCAAAACATACCACTTCAACCCCCCTTAAGTAAATAAATATATACTTTTTACACACATATTTATATATATATATATAACCACAGCTGTTTTTTTAAATAGGAATATACCACATGTGCATATATATATATATTTATATATGTATGTATGTATGTATGTATGTGTGTGAATGTGTATATCAATAGACACATATATATATTTATATGCACCCAAGCCTGTTTTCAAACATGCTGTCAAACATGCATGGTTTG